TTGTTATGTACGTTGGCCGGTTGATGTCTTTTCAATGAGTTTGCCTACGCCACGGCTATGTAGGTGGTGTGCGTTCGTAGCCAAACAATTTGTCGGACATACGTTCAACGGCATTAAATTACATTTCAATGATTTTGTACGTTTTTACTGTGCGTTGATCCTGTCTTCATTCATAACCAATGAATTGTATAGTAAGTCTACTCACTACATGCATCATTGTAATTAATAACGTATTTATTAAGCCTTGTCTACATGAATTGTTGTTGTCCTTGTTGTTACCGCTGTTTGGCTTGTAAGTGATTATGTAATAAATATTGGCCGTGAAACCATAAATAATAAGAAATATCTAAAAAAAAATAAAAATAAAAAAAATAAGGAAAAAGGAAAAAGGGGTTAAATAAATGTTTGCAAAAAAAAAAATTAAATTGCAATTAGAAGAACGAAAGAATCTTTATTCGCCCAGAGCCAAAATTTCGATATCTATAAACAACGATAAGTAGATAAAAATCGTGACTTCTCTATATTGTAAAGTTGACTTGTTTGCTTGATTGATTGATTGATAGGTGAAAGGATGATTTTTAAATTTATTACATTTCCTGTAAACACTGAGCTGTTCGCACTTTTCAGACAACATTCGCAATCGCTGTTAATTATTCGAATAATAGGAACGATTTGTCTTAAAGCCAGGATATAGGATCGGTATAAAATACACTCCTCTTGAATTGAACTGCAACTAGTTGCTATTATTGTCGCGGCTATTACTTTTATTACCTCCAGTACTACTAGTACTATGACAATTGCTCCTATAATTCTTACTATTGCTGTTGCTAGCATGAAAAATGCGTATATAAATATAATCGCTTAACTATTAATTGTAGACCAATACCAATTTTCAATATATTGTTAATACATCTTTTAATAATAAGCATTAAGATTCATTTATAACTTTTACATGAAAAATTGAATTTTTCTAAATATTTTCTAGTCGCGTGACTATTGCTGAAACGACATCTTTACAGATTAAAGCAATTTAGCCCATGTAGTGAACTTGACGCTAATAGCGCTGTCGGCGAACATTTCACAAGTTTTATAATCTATTTTATACCCAAGAACATTAATTGCTAAGATTGTCCTTATGAGATTTTTTTACTGTAAAGACGATTACTATTTCACATACACTATGTTTATATAATTATCACATCACTCAATAAGTGCGTAGCAGGATTAATAAAACAATAACTTTTTGGGCAAAATTCTATTCATTCGTTTCATTAATATAACCCTTTTTAGGAGTAATACAATCATTTTTATGCTTTTTTATAGAACTATTTATCCAATCCTTCAAAATACGCTTTAGTTTCGACAATCACCCCCTCTTTCGAGATATTTCGTTTTCTGGCGAGCATTTTGTTCTCATTCACGAACAAATGATAGTCAGTGAAGGTTAAATTTGGCGAATATGATGGATGTGGAACAATTCGAAGCGTAATTTATGCAATTTCGCCATTGACTTGCTACCTAATTTTTCCCTATTGATCCGTTTTTCCTTTTCAAGATAGCCGGCCCAAAGCGTTGGCGCCATCCCTTTCTCAGTCGCCTTGGATAGCTTTTGCCGGTTGCTCGGTTCACTCGGCCACCTACCGGCTTCACTCAAGAGTGTACTGATGAATCCATGCGTCATCCATTAGCACATATTTTTCGCCTCAACAGGTCCCAAGCGGTGGTGGTTGTGATCAAAAGTGAGCACTTCGTAGAGAGCTTTCATTACGGTGTCAGCTATCTCACGTAGAAAAGCACATCGGGTAAATGGCGTCCACGGCTTTGCTGGCCCATACGCAATCTTTTACGGAAATTCTGATCACCGACCAGGGAATGTCTCATGCGGTAATTGAATTGTTTCACGGCACGTATGGCATGTGCCACCGTCTTGTTGCAACCACATGTTGTCGCATCAACATCGTTCAATTTGGGCATAAAGAGCTTGTAACAGTCATTCCTTGACCAGCTTCATTGTCAAAGATGTATGGTCAATCTATCATTATTTTTAAAATATTATTCAACAATGCAAACAAGTTGCTCTCTCGGGTAATGCTCCATTTTTATTAACCCCAAACTGTCAACTTGTCAACTTTTTCCTTTTTTTTTTTTTTGGACTATCAACACTTTACCACCCAAATGGCGGCAAATTCAAATTTTGCGTAAATACATATCTACATATCTACATACACATATATGTATTTATATATATATGTCTGCGGAAGCCATAGGAAATCATTTAAAACACTGATCAAGCCGACATCACATCGTCACAACCATCAAAAAGGATAGGGCAGGAAATTTTTGTATTTTTTATCTCTCAAATGTTTTAAAATTGAAACGATTTTTTCTTACATTTAGGGGCAAACGTATGCTTGATGCGCAGCTACAAATCGATGCATAAATTTATTTGGATTTTATTTTGGCGGGCTTCAAAAACTACAGCACTCCTTACATATATGATTCGTCTTCTAAAATGTGTCAGGAACTTTCTCCTAAGATATACATGCATACATCAATTGGCGGCTTGCCGCCGATTATTAGATGTCAATGCAAGACGCATTCAGTTCTATAACTTATTTGATTGCATTTGTATGCATGCAACAATGCCTTCGAATACATGTCTATATTATATTATTCAAAAAATCATTACCTTTCTCTTTACACTGTAAAAAAGAATGGAAATTATTCTTTTACATTTGTCATATGATGATACTTATAAAATAGATCAAGACGACAATTTATTAATGTGACTTCTAACTTCAATAACTCATCGTGAAAACCCGCAGGCACACGAACACACTTACATAGCATATTTATATATATGTTGCTCATACAAGTCGACACACATGCATACATGCACAATGAGGAAAAATATATCAGAATATATACGTGTCAGCTTGTGTGGCCACTTAAAATAAAAACAACAATACCGACTTCCTACGAGACTAATACATATCATAATTTACCGCATATGCCTACATGTCTACACATTGTCTCCTTTTACGAACATTTATATATATATATATGCATAACATATATATATATATATGCATAATTCATATTCATGCACATGTATACATGTATTCACAACGAAATATATACTGTGTATAAAGTTATGATTAGAAGAACAATATTATGTACAGCGCATATACATATGTACACTCTAGTGAAATCATGTTTAATAATAAAACATAAACTGACGTTAAATGTTGTGAGGCGATGATTTGCAGCCGCTACTAAATCAACTATCCAAAGACCATATATCACGGAAGTATTATATGTGGATATCCATATATATATATATATATATATATATATATATATATATAAACATTTTCATGTAAGTATTTATGAGGTTTCATGTTAATCTAGAAGTGCTTATGCGTTTCGAAGTAAGAGTTTATTGAGAGCAGATATGAAAATTATTGTTAACAAACATATGGTATGAGTGCACATAGTGTAAGTAAATTTATTATCAGACTTGTTCACATATTGTAAGGTAATAAAAATTGAAATTGAGACAACAAATGCTTTAAATAATGAAAGAATTCACAAAGAAAGCAAACTTCGCATCGAGTATCGACTTGAAAATAAAACAAAATTTAAATCAATTTAATTACGAAAATAAAAACAAGATTGCAAAGTAAAAGAAAAAATGATAATTTAAAAAAAGTAAAATTAACAGCAAACACATCTGCTCATCTCTCTATTATTTTACGGCATTTAAGTTTTTCAAAATTTCCTAGTATCTCTGGAATCTTTATTCAAACCTTTGCCGTGAGGTGCGAGGTGCTTTGAACATGACATAACTTATTTTTAATCCTTTTCTCGGTAACATAATTTAACATATAATCTTCGAAACATAATCGTAAAAATTTTTCAAGTTAACGGCACGCAGTAAAGAGTATCTGAAGCAGCGCAAGTTTAAAGTCCAACAGGGTTTGAGTTCAAGTGCAAACGAACTTTTATTTTAACCCTCACAATATGAAAAGCGTCAAGCGGCAGAGTGGAAAGAAGTGAAGAGAGCATAAAAATCCCTGAACATCATGAAAACAACGTCGTTGCATCATAAAAGTTTATGACTTTTATGTTTAACAACATCAACACCAACAGCAACAACGACAATAGCATCATTTTTGTCGTGTTTTCATCAAAATCTTGTTGCCTTATCTTTCGTTTTGTATTTTTTTGCTTTTCTTCCTTTTTTCTTTTTTTTTTTTGTTAAGCTCCATTTGCAAGTGAGAAAATCCTTGTCATTTATATGCATATACTTATATACTTATATATATATATTTGGTCTCATCTGTTGTTTGGTACATTTTGTGGCAAAAATTTTAATTAAAAGTCTTTTGCACCGTGTAGTCCACTGTGGCACGCAGCATCAATCTATGAGGGTAGCAAGGCGAAAAAACATTTCATTACCACATTTAATGTTAAAACATTTAGTTTCAATCAAAGTTACGCAAATTGTTAATAGCTGCAATCCAATGTTAGCCAAATTTAGAGCTAGTTCTACTGAATCACCGCTCTCTGAACAACAACAACAACAACAACAAAAAAGAAGAAAAAAATCGTTTGTATTTGTAATTAAATAAAGACAACAATTTCATAAACACGAATTACGCGAAATAAAAAATAATATTCGAATTGTATCAATATATTCAGTTTAAGATGAATCTCAAATATCGACGAGTTTAGTAAAGCAATAATGCTTCAACGATTCAAATAAATCCTATCCTATTATCGGATGAATAAACCTATACAACGTTAGTCTACCTAGCGAGCCTAACATGACGGTCCTGACGATTCTAAATATGCAAAGCGTTAGTTAATAGCTTTGCTTTAAAACTACATAAGTAATTTATTCGCAACTAATGAAAAACTTATTACCATAGTTGACGATGGATCACGATAAGCCTTACAGGAATGTATCTGTAATTTAATTACATTCATTATAAGAGGTTCGTCTGCGGCGGAATATGTATTAAAACTGGAGCGATACAGAAAAGGTTCGCATGATCTGTGCACGAGGATGACACGCAAAACTATAAAGCTTTCTAAACTAATGAACTGAGTAGAGCATAAAGACGTAAGGTCACAATGTCAACGTTATGTATATTTGTAGTTGCATGAAAAAAGCATCTTTATAATATTAGTTAACAAATACATGATCTCAACTAGTTGAACAATGCAGTGATAAGTTTGGAAGCCACGCCATAATATGTATCAGGCACTGTCTGTGTCCTATAGATGTCAGGAACTTGAACACATACTCATCATACTGTAAAAAGTGATTCAAATGCGTTCAAAGTGAAACGATCATTAAAGTACCATGAACCTTATCTTGCTGACCAAATTGTAATCAAAATGATCCTCCCAATGATAAGGAATACGCAACAAAAAAGAGCCAATAGAGCAATACAGCTCGTTCTAATAATCGAAACCTGGATGAGCATTTTCTATGAACGGTTTCCCATATAAGTAATCAAAAAAACAGTAAGACTGGCAACGTTACTAATACTACCAATAATAATAACAACGATAATGCTTGTCCCATATCTAAGTTGTAATAAAAAGCGGCATTAACTGCTTATTCCACATTGCAAGCCTAAATAAGTAAAAACGCAATAGTGGGGCCCGGCCCTCCATTAAACACCCTAGACCACGCTACTGGTGCTCATATATCGAGTTTTCAATATAATGCGTTATATGGGGATTGATCAAAACAGCGGTACCCTATCCGAACCATTTTCAATAAGGTTCGGCCTTGAGTCAAAACACGTCTGCGTTAAAATATTGCAAAAATTACAACTTGATCGAACACAAAAATACAAGGACAGAAATCAAACGGATAGACAAAGTGCCAGACAAGCTTAAAACGATTTAGAAAATGATCCCGAGTCGATTGATGTGATAAGAAACGCGTGAATCTTAACTTCTGCAGAATGTTACCGATACTTCTGGCTAAACTTAATATTCTCTGTAGCAGAAGTGGTGACGGGTATAAATATGGCCCATGTTCGATGATTGATTATCTTAAATGGCACATTGTGGGCCCCCCCCCCCCCCCCCCCACCGCTACTAAAAAAGTACCAAGTACTAGTACTAAGTTGCACTGAGATGATGAACATTTCAGGCTTACTTTGCAATGAATGCAGACACGAGTTACTGATCTTATACCAAATCTATTAGTAAATAATAATAAATAAACACACTGTGAAAGTCCATAAAGGCATATTTTCATATTCATATATTTATTACCTATAAGCCCATTGGCGCAATAGAGTAAAAATGCTGTGCAATCTACTGACATCTCCGTAATCAAAACTCATTACAGTTTAACGTAAAGGCAAGAACAAAGCTCCAGATCGAAAAAATCTAATAAATCTATCTTTTAAGTTAATAAGAAAAAACAAGAAGAAGATGAAGATGAAGATGAAGAAGAAGAAAAACAATGTATTTCAATGTCAGTAATTAGCCCTTTGATAAATTTCTTAAGCAACTTAAAAATACTATCGAGTTTGAAAAACTAATAATTACTTTTTCGGCCACATTTATTCAATTTACTTAAACTGTCAAAATTGTTTTCAAAGTAACACCTAAAACTATGCAATTACATTCACTTTGATCCTTTAAAAGAAAATATGTAAATTTCATTTGAAGGGATAGTTGTAATAGCAGCAGTAGTGGTTATTTGAAGAAACTTTTCTTCAAAACCAAACGCCAGAAACGGGTTTTTATGCGACAATACGATACAATTCGCTTTAAATGTCTTAACTTAAACGAGACCCGAAGTGAAAGGATGAAAGGGTGCCCATCAATCGAAGTTGTTAAGTTAAGTTAAGGCAAGGCTTTTTCCTATTATTTCTCTCATTTAATAATTGACAACAATTGCTTGCCTTCCGCTCGTACTGAACTCACATATTTCAATAGCTCGAGCGACTTACATGACCACATATAATGTATATGAACGTATACTACTACTACTACTACTACTACTACTACTACTAAAAAATATTTTGTATGTAACGTTAATTATAGTTTTCTAAACATCATTACGTGCTTGCCTATATACATATCAATTTTGGGCGTATGTATGTGACGCTTAGTAAATAATTTATAGTTTTGTTTGATGTTTGAATTATAGTTTGAAAAAAGTTCCATTATATAATATTATGCTGTAGTATAAAACAAATGGGAAAAAGTAAAGTTGGAAGTTACGCAAGTGTTGATGACACGTTAATGACAGTGATAAAAATTTCAAAATTTTTGCGGCTTGTCACTTGCGATTTATTTAAAGTGAAATGTATAGAACGAGAAAGAAAAAAAAAAAAAAAAAAAAAAAAACAACAAATAAAAACAAACAATCAATCGCCTATGTTCATGGCTTCCGGTGGTTTGCCTTTAACTTGATTACATTTAGTTTACCTTTTTTTTTTTCAAGCAACATTCAAGGTGTTGTAGGAATACTTGTAACTTGTAGTATAGCAATATGTGCTATATGTCGATTATATGCTTTAGTTAAAGGAAATTATTAATAACACTTTTTATCATTGACAATTTTCTATTTAATCACACATGATAAAGCGATTTTCTTTTATTTATTTATTCATTTATTTTTTGATTTTTTTTATTTTTATTTTTTTTTTACCAAAATCTCTCCTATCCATTCCATAAAAACGTGTTAAAATTGTTTCCTTTTTTTTTTTTTTTATCGTTTAGATACTCTCGCTCTTCGCAAATATCCACCCCATAGAGAGTCCTTTAGATGGTCGTATAATAAAAAAAAAACCCTTTTCCCCAAATGACTTAAATCTGTTTCTATTGTATAAAGAAAAGTCTAAAGGATATTATTGCTTAGGTTAGAGCGTTGCAAAATATTAATGATTGACATTTATATTCAGTTTTTACGACAAAAATATCTGCTTGTAATTGTTTATGTTCCGACAAAATATGTTTGAGTAATATTATTTTATAAGCTATTGTCCATAAGATAGATAAAGAAGAGTGTAAAAAAAAAAATGTACAAAATACTTATAATTTAAAATTGATAAAAAAAAAAAAATTAAAAACTAAATATAAATATATTATAGTGTAACGTGATTGCATGTTGTAGTAGTATTTTCAAGAAGTTTTTCATTTATAATATTCTTATAAAATTCGCTTTTCAATCGATAGGACTTGCACCACTAGATCGGGGATATTATTTTCACGATAAATACACTTCACATTTCAATTTGTTGAAAGGTAGGGCTATTTACATTTTACTTTAGCAGTACTCTCGACTTCTCAACTCTAGTATTGTTTTTCGACTCAAATATTCCTGTCCGATTGACTCTGCCTTCCGCAAGTAGTACATGTTACTATTACCTAAGTTCATTGCTTTATTTTTAATCCGTTAACCTGCCTCTCCGCTAATCGGTTTTCATCGGCCGGCAGCTGCATGACTCGCCGCGAATGTACACTTGATTTTTCCCTCTCTAGGGAGTTTATTATCTGGGAAAATTTAATTATCCGGAATGAACTAGATTTGAAAATAAGACGAATAGAGGGACAGACGGCCAGCAGCCAGACAAGCTTAGATCGATTCAGAAACTGTTGTTGACTAGAACAGCATAATAACAAATAAGAACAATCGACCAATCGAGCAAGACAACAACCTCTAGCTACCCGACCTCACTTCGCCAATTGCAGTTATAAAGTTATTCACTATATACTTTTCATCAAAGCCAGCATATTGGAGGATGGCGCAAAACCACTACATGACGTTATCCAAATTTAGCAAACTTAATTTGCTTGCCCAATATTTTATTATTGTTCAGTTTCCTTTATAAAAAACTTGCAATTACACTTGCGCTCCATGTAATGTCTTGCTTATCGCGACAAACCTAAAAAAGTTCTACTATTTCTGTTGCATTTTGGGAACCGCAAACATAAAAGTTATGTTTATTTGCATGCCCAAACTAGCTTCACGACTCAGAATATCGTGATCCAATCCATGTAATTTTCCAACATTTGATGAGCGAATACATCTCTCACCCTTTTAGCTTTTTACATATCAAATGTAATCGTACTGACAGTTTTGTGTTAACAGTTCAAAAATGGCATGAAATTTACTATGACACTTCTCATTGAAAAGCCTATAACTGCATATAGCAAATTTCTTTCCCAATTTTCACTGCTGCGACCATAAACCTGCCAACGACGTATAATAAACTGACAGACAAAGTTACAATGAGAAAACCTTACACTGATCGAAAATATATATACTTTGGAACGTCTGGGCGTTATAGGGTTAATACAATGCACTGTTCGCCAGAGAATGCAAATATATATAAAACGATATCAGGCGATATTTTCTGTAACTCTTGGCATTTTTTCATATAATTCTTAAGAAAGTTCTGTTCGCTCTCTATTATGAAATTCTAAGAATCGTTGGAAAGAAACCCATCTCTGTTGATCGAAGTAAGCGATTTTTGGAAAGCATTCGAAGCAAGGAAGACTGTCACCGTAAGTAGCGAGAATAAAATTTATGAAAGCCCTTTCCAAACCCAAACCCAAATCTCTCTTTATTGAAGAAATGAATAAATCATTGCGATGGCTTCAATAGTCATATGATACCCTACAATTTTATACAAATAATTACTAAACAAAAATTGTTGGAGGAATAAATGTAGCCTTCACACACATCCACTGATCGTAACATTCACAGCTGATTTTTTAAGCTCTCAAAATGTTCAACTACTAACATATCTACAATCTATATATAATCAAAGTGGAGAACTAAATGATTTCGTTATGTTATCAATGAAGGACAGAATTTTTATTACAAAAGTGCTTAAGAGAAATATACAAAAAAAAAAAATGTTTTCAATATTTTTAATAGCTATTTTTATCGCATGAGATAAATGCACTTACATTTTTCCTCAACTCAAGTGATTTTTTTTTATTTTTATTACAATATGTCTTTCTATATAATATATATATATATATATATATATATATCTATAGGATAATTTTTTTTGTTAATATTCCTACCAACATGTATATATATAAAAAAATATTCT